CAGCCTGCGAAACCTCTTTTCTTTATAAATTACCCAGTGTTAAGTATTCTTTTACACCACCACAAACCACACTAAGGCACAGAACAGACTCAGATATAACACATGAAAATGTGTGAGATCCTCTAGGAACAACCTATTGGTTGTGAAGGACAGTGAAAATTAAAGACAGAACTCTGGAGAATATCAACATCTGAAAAGAGTGAGAGGGGAAAAAGGAATACTCCATGAAGACTAAAAGAAGTTGTCAGAGAAATAGAGAGAGGACCAGGAGAAAAATTTCCAAAAGAAGATACTTACAGCTGTCAATCACAGCAAAAGTAGCAAAATAAGGCCTGAGGATTACTTACTACATTTGCAAATGTGAAGGTCACTGTTGTCTTCAGCTAAAGACCTCGGTGGTGTACAAAAAGTCAGCGTCCAGTGGTTTGAGGAAAGATGGGCCTTCTAGTAACTCTACTGGGTCCCCAGTGAATATTTTAGGCTCCCCAGCCTATAATAGTCTACAACAGAGTGAACCCAGTACCAATTTACTACTTGAAATGTGTTTTTATTCCCACTTCCTTTGATTGTTGTGAAACTTCAATAATTCAGTGGTGATGTTGTATGGAAGTGGAGGTGGGTGAAAAGCATGCATCGGGGCATAGGAGATCGAATGTTCCTGGAATGCCATTTATGATATTAAGAACCAGAATGACAAAGCCAAAGGAGAGTCCCTTTCAGGTATGGCATGAAGTCACCTTCTAGGACCATTAAATATGGGAACCCTGCAGAATCCATTTTGCATTTCACTCTTTGTCCCCGTATCATTGTTAATGAATATATACTGGATTGTCAACCATGAGCGGGAAAGAATTTCTACCCCGCAGCATGTTATTTGCATGAGGGTGGCATTGTGTTCTTCATGTGTCATAGAACCTGTGACCTGTCACATGTAATTGTCATGTCAGCTTATCAGCATGTCAGGGACTACGGCTCCTAGCTTCCATCTCAGAGGGAATATTGCTTAGACTGGGAGATGTTCTGCTAGCCAGATGAGGCAGAACTCTGCCAAATTCAAGTGCCAGAGAAACCCTGGACAGTAATCAATACCAAACCTAATTATTAATAAGACCACCCAGGGGCACATGGCCGGGAACCAAACCACCTTCCTACCTTGGTCTGATCTCTTGGCATGTTTCCTTGCTAGACCTAGCGTTGCTCCCACTGACGTGAGGAAGAATCCAAAACAGGCGTTATTTTAAAGGGAGTGGGGCAGAAAGAATAGTTGAAAAGCCACTTTCGGATGCTGGAAGGGTCATGAGGAAAAGGGTTCTGATTAGTTACATCATCCAGGGCTTCAAACTTTAATAAATATTGATTGGTGGATGAAAGTGAAAGCTGAAGCCAAGGAAAGGCCTACATATGTTCAGAGATTCTGAGTTGGAAATGCTCTTTTTCCAACCCCAAATCACACTGGGGAAAGCCAAGTAGTGATTAAGGAATGGCTGGGGCAACAGCAGCCCATTCTCTGGGGCCTTCTAAGTTCCCAGCCTGGGAGTGCTGCCTGCTTGGGAGATGAGTGTGTGGTGTGTGTTCTCAGCCACAGCTTCTTCAAGCCTTCCCTCCTGACATCTTTCTGCCAGATGGTCCTTCTTGAATTCTGGAGGCACATGGCCCTCCTGGTTCCTGCAACCGGAGCCAAGAGAACTTTGCTGCACCAACGTAGCCCTTGATCCACCTCTCTAGCCTAGACCCTGACCAGGAGGAGAGGCTAGGCTCAGCCGCCCTTCCTGCCCAGGGAAGGAGCTCCCCAGCCCACCTCTGGGTGCCTTGGGTAGAGCGTGAGCCCTGACTCTGGGGGTTCTGGGAGCACCTTCTCAACCAGAGCTCCTCTTTTGTCTTTTGTCATTTTAGAATGAACATGCTCTCTGTTCTGTCTTAAATTTCCCTGTAGGGTTATCCTGATGTTGTTAAATTACAATCCAGACTCTCAACAACTTGCAAATGTTGTGTGTAAACATAATCAGAGTGTGGATCCAATCCACTTGTGATTGTTAATAGAAAAAAAAGGGGGGGGGAACCCATGCAGACTTAAAAAAAAAAAAAGGAAAAAGAAGAAACAATCAGTAGGGTGTTTGCCTAGATGATTTGGTTTCTAGGGGACTGTCCCAAAGAGTCCCCACCGTGATGTCTGGGGCGGGAGGAAGCCAGGGCTAGGTCCCTGTAGCTGAGGCCTACAGGATTTCCCCCAGAAAGGAGTCGCCTCTCCCGGGTGAGGAAGAGTCTCTCAAGCCGTTCTGAGCTCCAGCGGCCTCGGAGGGATTCCCATAAGAGCCCCCGGACTGCAGGAGGTGGCCCGACTGCCTGCCTTGTCCTCACTGGGACCCAGACACGGTCTCCGATGTTGGTTCCTTTTCTGAGCACACTGCGAGTCTGGCCCAGAGTTCCACCTCGGAGTAGTTGGAGGACACTCTGTACCCCCACAGTCTTTAAACTCCCCCCAACACCTCCTGCCCATTCCTAGAGCCTGGAGCCCCTGCCTCGGGCCTCTAGAGCAGCGGCGAGGCAAGAGCTGCGTTGCCGGGCTGGACAAGCTGTCAGCAGGCATTAGGCTCTAAGTCCCAGAGCTATTTCGATTGCACTTAGAAGTTTATATTATGTATGTAAAATGGATGTTATAAACGTGTATGTATTCAGCCCATGAGTGTTTAGCAAATGCGTCTGGTGTTTTTGTTGACACCGTTAACATCCTCGTTGGTATTGGTAGGATCGGTTGGTATTCACACAAATGACAAGAGGGTGACTTTCAAGAAGCGCCTGATCCCTCCAGAGACCTCTGCTGAATTTCAGTGAAACAGTCTGGCCACGCTTCCAGATGCCCATCTATGCGCTCTCGTCCCTGTCGCTATTCCTCAGTCACCAACCACGCAGATGGGTCAGCCGGACCAGGCAACTTCCTCCGAAGGGGGATCGTCCCACAACTCACCAAAGTCGCTCGCTGGCTGTTCAGGAGAAATGGGGTGTCTGGGGATGCCAAAAGCCCTTACTCAGACCTTTGTCACAAAGAGTAATTCGCGTGGGGACAAAAAGCAACGTTAAAACGCAACTGTGTAAATGAGGAGGGAGAATGAGAAAGGAGTGAGCGGCGAGCAGCTGCTTCAGTTCTAGGGTGGTTTCGGGAAGGCTGATCCGCTGAAGGGACCAGCGGCTGCGGCTGCGGCTGCGGCTGCAGCAGGGTGGGGAAGGGAGAAACGGCCGCGCCGGCCTTTCACTTAAGCGCACAAAGCAGGACTCGGGGTGGAAACTTCTCTGCTCAATTAAGTCGCGTCCACACCAGCAGATGGCACGAGCACGTGCGGTGCTCCGCTGAGGCTCTCGGGGGCAGCGGAGTCGGGAATTCCGACCCAAGGCACCCCCAAACCTGGGCCCACTCCGTGGCGCCGTCCCGCGTGCGCGCCCGCCCGCCCCCCAGGCGCGCTCGGCTCGCCCTGGCTGGGCGCGGACAGATGTTTACTGCCCAGAACCGCACCGCTGGGGAGACCGAGCGACCCTCACTCCGCTCGGGGCGGCGCCGGAGGGGCTCTGAGCTCGTGGTCGGAGGTTCAAGCGGCCCAGGTTGGGTGCGGGGGGAGGAGGACGAAGGGGTGGAAAGAGGAGGTGGGAGTGGGTGGACTAATGATGAAAAAGTCTCCTCCATCCCGGCTCCTTAATTAAATGCATGGAAAGAACCGAGGCGAGCACATCTGGTTTCAATCTGCAGCTCTTTGATGGCATCAAATGTTCTTTTCCCAGATCAGGGCTGGAAGTTCTGGGCTAACTATGGCCGTTTGGAGCCCAGAAACCATTTTACACACACTCGGACCCTTCTTTCTCTCCGGTGGAGCCTCTCGGCTATAGGAGAAAAAAAAGTCTAACAATCAAGGGAGTGTGTGTGTGTGTGTGTGTGTGTAGAACATAAAACGCCACAAATAAGCACTTAATATTTTACTTACTCTTCATATAGTAACTCATTTCTAATGAGACTATTAAAGCTGTTACCGGATTCCAACAGGTCATGAAAAAACCGCTCAGCACCTCTCTGTCCTCTGTCAAGTTAGGCGCAGCAGACGGACGACAGAGCTTTGTAGATTTAGCAGGGGTCTTCCGCGGCGCTCTGTCCTTCCCCCACCGCACCCACGCTGGCTCCAGGACGAGGCTCCGCGCATAAGCCTCCCCTCCCCCTGTCGCTCCCTCTAGGAGTGCTGGTGTCTGCTCAGAATCTGGGCAGCAGGACCCTCTGGGTTTAGCGTTGCGGCCGCCGGGGGAAATGACCTTGGCTGCACCACTGAGGTTACTAATTGGCAGGGGTGGGGTGGGACTGGGGGATGATTATGATATACTTAAGTCTTTTGCTCCAGTTTAATAAATATGTAAATTTCCTATTGCCTTAGCCCTGAGATTCCTTACAGTGGGGAAAAGCCTCGAATGGATTCGGTGCTTTCTAGATCTCCCCAACCTGCCTTTAATCCGCGGAGAAGCGTGGGAGAGCCTCCCATTATTATCCCTCCTGTTATTTTATTACATTATTTAATAGGCTGTCGGTACCGAGCCAAACGTAGCCTTAATACGTTTGCTCTCTCATGGTTTTCTCCGACACTCCCCTCATTCTCCCCCAAAACAAAACAGCAGGAAACGTTACACGGGGGGTGGGAGTAGGCAGAAGAAGAAGAAAATTTGATTGTGATAGTTGTGGAGTTTTTCCAACAAGTTTCCCCGCAGCTGTTATCAAAACATGCAAATGAGATTTTCCAGCAGAATCTTAAACAAATCTGGAAGAGTTAATGCCGAAGCAAAATAATCAGCCCGTTTGAAGTGACTGTGGGTTTCAGTTTGTCTTTTCTCCCCTTGATATTATTGCAGGGGAATGATAATTAGACCTTTACTTTAAAAATCTAAAGGGGCTCTCCAGCTCTCTTCCCTCCCTCTCTCCCCTCCTCCCTCTCTGACTCCCTCCCTCTCCCTTTCTCTCCTGCTCTGATGTTGGCAAAGGGGGTTTTCTTAATCAGACTGTTTTTTGGTTCGAGGGAAAGGAGGAAGAAGGAGATTGTGATGGAGAAAGGGGGTCTGTAAAACGTCAGGCACGGCACAAAGGCTTTGCCACGTAATTACAGGCTCCTATTAAGTCGAGATCTGCCCTCCCAGGGGTCTCCAATTTTCTTGTATTCCCTACAAAGCCTCCTCTGCATGCCAGTTTGTGCCTTTTGAAGTGCCAGAGAGCTTCTTGATCCAACTGAGAAGGAAAAAGGAGCTCAGCAAGAAGAGGGGGAGAGAGAGAAGGGAAAGGGGGGAACCCGCCACCACCCTCCTTTGGACTCGTGAAGCCCTATTTTTTTTTAATTTTTAATTTTTTTTTTTTTTACTCCTTACCAAAAGTAAAGTGAGAATCCTGCTCTCTAATACATCTGCAAGACATCACCCTCTCCTCCTGAAACTTCAGTCACTCCTGAGAATCCACAGGAGTGCAGAGAGGGGGGAACACGTTTTCTTGAAGATGTTTTAAAGCTGGAACAAGCCTTCTTCTGTTGGTGCTTGAACTCTTGCCTGGGAATAACTTTTTTAACCTTTAAGAAAAAACCCACTTTGATTCTTCTCTCCCACCCCTCTTCTCTCTTCTTCTGTTTGCCTAACTCCCCCGCCCTGCTGGCCTCCCCTTTCCTCTCTCTCCCTTATTATTATTTTTAGTGTGCGCGTGCGGACGCTTTTGGAGAGTTAGAAGGGATTTTTTTTCTCCTGACTTGAACATAAGGTGACTTTTTAATTTTCCTTTTTGGTGTGGATTATCTCTTTGGACCGCGCCGGACTTGGCCTCAGGAAAGCAACCCAGGCTGTGGAAGGCGGCTGGTGCAGAACGCTCTGCTCTGCAAAAGGGGGTCCCCCGCCCTCTTTTCCACTTTTTTTTTTCTTGGCCTTCCTCTCTTTCCCTCCCTCTTTTTCTCTCTCCCTCTCTCCGACTCTCTCTCTCCACTCCCCCCTCTTTCTTCCCCACTCTGCTTCTCTCCCCCCTCGCGCCCACAGCGTTTGGTGTTGATTCGAGCGGGAAGAGGGGGGTGGGTGGGATCGGAGGGGGAGACCATGACCTCCAGCTACGGGCACGTTCTGGAGCGGCAACCGGCGCTGGGCGGCCGCTTGGACAGCCCGGGCAACCTCGACACCCTGCAGGCGAAAAAGAACTTCTCCGTCAGTCACCTGCTAGACCTGGAGGAAGCCGGGGACATGGTGGCAGCACAGGCGGACGAGAGCGTAGGCGAGGCGGGCCGGAGCCTGCTGGAGTCGCCGGGACTCACTAGCGGCAGTGACACTCCGCAGCAGGACAGTGAGTGAGGGGTGCATGCCTATGCTATGGGTGTGTGCCCGGGACGGAGGGCTGGGACCCGTGCAGGGCGGCGGGAGTCCAACCTGGGCCAGGGGGAGAAGATCGGGGAGTAGGAGAGGTGGTGGCAGTTGTCTAAGGGAAAGACTAGTCACAGGAGGAAAGGGCTGAGAAAAGGAGGACTTCCTCGAGGGCTTGGCAGAGGCGGCCGCTAGAGAGACGCTCGGAGGCCCTGCGGTTGAGAGCAGAAACTGCCCACCGCGGACTCTCGCTTACACCGATCCAGCTCCGGCTGCGTCCCGGGCAAAGGCGGCCGCCTGATCATCCGGCAGGCAGGGCGACTGAGCCTGGCTGGGAAAAGGTCCCGCTGGAGCGCAAACTCAGGGAGCAAACCCTGTTTGGGAAAGCAGCGAGTTAATGATGCTGAGTCGAGTCGGGGGCTTCTCCCGGTCGCATGTCTGGTCTTGGGACAGGGCACCACGCTCAGGGAGCGCGAGCAGCACTGCTCCGGCCGCACACTCCACGCGGGCACCAAAGGCCCGGCGTGCCCGGGAGGCCGCGAGGGAACGCCCGGCCGGAGCCGCAGCAATTGCTCTCTGCCCCCTGCTGTCGCCTCTCCTGCAAATGGGTTTGAGACCCCAGCTGAGTCAAAAGTCTGGCGGACTTGGGCAAAGTCTGGCCAAGTGAAAGGAATGTCTGTTAGGGATGAAACTCGAGATCCTGCCCCCGCATGATCCCGCACCAGGGACTTCAGGGAAGCCCAGGCTTCAATATCCAGGCCCACGTCACGTCTAAGGAGCTCTAGATAGTGTCCCCTACAGAAAAGTTCACGCTGCCTCCCTTCCTCATCCTCACGGACAGATACTGCACCCTGAGAAAATCTCTCCTCGCGTTGTTAAGGGTGTCTTCAAACCTACTGCAAGTGTTTCCCGACCTTTTGGGTCTATGACAGACCTGTCACCTGGCTCATCCCAAGGGACACGGGCCGGATACGCGCAAATATTCCCTTTTCTAAAATGAGGCTTATCCCTTCTCATGCCGTTATTTGCTGATTACCATTTCTTCTTCAAATTTGGAGATTTAGGGGACACCAGCATTCTATGATTTTCACAAAACATAGCCCTTCTGAGGCTCTCAAAAATTAGAAACAACTGGAAGCAGGGCCTGGACACAATGATAGGAGTCCTGCAGGCCGAGCTAAATAAAGCAGTCCGAAGGGAGTCCAGATCAGAGAGCGCACAGGCCCCTCACCCTGCTTTCTTAATTCAGGCCTGGGCGGCCCTACGTGTTTGGCCAAAATCGGCCTAAGAGTAATCCACCCTAGACGCGACAGGGGCTGGATGAAGAGGTCTGGCTTGGCCTTTCGCTAAAGAAAGGCAGCCAACTTTGAGGAATGAAGAGTCGATGTCCCCAACTCCCCCGTCAGTGCTGGACGCAGAGGCAGAGACATTGAGCTTTGGGTTTGGGGCTTGGGAGGCTGCTGAGGAGTTAAATGTGTGAGGGGCACTTTATCTCCAACAAAATGCACTATGAAATACTATGATTATTTTTAAACTATTCATAAGGAAAATGTAAAACATTCAAAAAGGAGAGAGAACAGCATTTGGGATTAGTTTCGCCACTTCTGCGCATTTGGTGGTTTCTGTTTCTCCAAGGCTGATTTTTAATCGAAACATTTAACACTATTGGGAGAACTAGAGGCTGGAGCCATACAGAAAACATGGCCTCCAAGTAACTTCTGTGTAGAGGAGGGTGGGGCAGGAGAGGTCTGACAGTGTTGCTTTGCCCAAAGAGGAGGAAAGAGATGAGAAAAGCAGGGCCCAGGCCTGCAGTTTCCTATAACCCTGGCCCAGGTCGCTGTCAGTCAGTGCCAGAAACTGCAGGACTGAAGGGAGGCAGATGGTACCTGTTGTTTGGCTCTGCGAGTGGATGCCATGAGAAGGGAGCTTGGGATTCATGGTGGTGTTGTAGTGGGTACCAAGCACAATTGGGCTGAGCTGGCCGTGGAATGCCCCTGAGCAGATTTGGAGGTCTCTGGGGACAGGGAATGGCTCCTGTGAGACCTGGGCCTGGCCCAAGAGGGGCTGCATGGACTTGGGGCATCCTGTAGGACTTGAGGAAAGCTCAGGGTTTGGAGGGGACCCTGTTTTCTGGGAGAGGAGAGCAAGACTCCAGAAACCCACCTGCGCATGATACTCGATCCCATCATGGAGATACAGGGAGTAGAAAGGCCTCGTGGGTAGAAAATGCCCAAAAGGGAACTGAGGCCGGGAGATCACCCAGAGGGAAGAGGCACTGCAGGAGGGGGGTCAGAAGGAGGCTGCAGAAAGCAGGGTGAGGCCATGGGGACCAAGTGACTGACTCGCACCTGGACTTGGGGAAGCAGCCAAGAGCTAAGGAACATAGACACACGGGTACACGTGCAGGCACACTCCTCAGGCCTTGCTCCTCAGAGGTGGCCACCTGGCCTATTTTTATAACAATCCTGGGATGAGAATGGGAGGGTCTGACAGCTGGGTGACCAGCAACCTTCAGGAGGACCCTCCTCTACAGTTCTTGGGCATCCAGAGTTGCCCAGGAAGCTGTTGTGAGCTCCTTGAAAGTCAGGACGTGTGGCCAGCACTGAGCCTTGAGCCTGCAATGGACAGTGAGGGTCAGACTGAGAACTAGGAAGTAGAGGAGTCTCAAGAATGGAAGTCTGGTGGATTGGGAAAATATCATCTTTGGAGAGATGAGAAACATTCAAAAAGTATCTTTGACTCTTTTATCTCTATAGAAATAGCCCTTATCCTTCTCCTTTCTAGATGTTCTTTTCAACTGAAATCAGCAAAACAAATTTCCCTTACATCTTCACTATTAGATTCTAAATTTTGCAAAATTTCTAATTACAACCTGTGTTGAGTGTAGCAAAGAGGAGCTAGGTGTTGTCTACAGGTTTTCCCCTGACCTCCCGTCCTTCCCATCATCACTTCAGATCTCCTCCTTAGTTGATATTCACTCCATTCTCCTATCTAGTGGACTTCCTATTTCCCCCTTTACTAATTCTTCCAGTCTGGTAAATTTCTCACACCGCTGGGTTCAAGTGCCTTAAGTATTTAAAGAAACGTTTCTTTACTACTGTTAGGAATCCAATAGCTAATGGAGGAGTGTGGAAGTCGAGTAGGGCTGGTGATAGAATGGAGCTAGTCTGGGAAGGAAAGAGGAACAGGTCATAAAAGTAGGCAAACCTATTTCTAGTCCTAGGACAGAGCATCCTGCCGTCATTTCTTAATCTGAACTTCTGCAAACTCTTAAAAAAAAAAAAAAAGCGCCTGCCTTCCACGTTCCCAAACTCTAAATTAGTGAAACCAGATTGTCCTAATAAGACCTTTTGTTGAAAACACATGTAGTCATAAAAAGGTAGACGGAAAGTCAATTAGACACGCGTGCACACACACGCACACACTCACAAGCCAGCGCAAAGTGTGCACCCGGGCGCAGCTGGGCCCCGGCCCCGCGGCAGGATGCAAATGCAGAACAGGGGCGCGGGAAATCGATTTGTCACAAAGGGAGAGGTGTAAACGCAGCGCGAAGGAATTGCCGGCGCAATCTATCAGCCTTGCTCTCAGGCTCAACTCCACCGACCTCTCTCTTCCATAGAAGAAAAGGCCCAGGAGGACATGAACATTGGGGGGTGGGGGGTGCTTCCCAATTAGAATGTTCATCACAAGAATATCAATCCTCCTAGCGTCCCAGTGTTTACAAACAGATGTGGCCGCCAGGAATTTTCTTATGAGGCACCGCCCTAGGCCCCCAGGGCCGGTGCTGATGCTGGCACTCTAATTTTGGTCCTCAATTATCTCAATTCAAGAGAGGAGCCAATAAAATATGTCATTTTAAGGGTAGCCTGGAAAATTTTCTATTTGGCGGCAGGAGAAATCCAAGGGACAGCATCAAGGCCAGAGAAGAGGTGGTGAATCCAGTTTATTTTTCAGGTAGGGGCAGGAACCTAGATGGCCTCCTTCTCTTAAAGTTTTGGAGAAATTGACAGTCTAGTGATTCCCATCCACTTTGGAGTGAAGGACAATTTCTAGTTGGGAGCGTGGGAAGATAGATAGTCCAGTAAAGTCCAAGGCCCAGGCTGCCAACTCGCTGGGGCTCCAGATTCCCCAAGTCTGGAAGGCAGAGTCTCTTCCCTCACCGTTTGTTTCGCAGATGAAATTATTTCCTAGACTCGGAGGAGCTCCTTTCTCAGGAGTTAGACGTCGCGCAGGCTTGCTCTTTAGCTGAGCGACCTTACCCCGGTGCGCTCAGGTCAGAGCGCCAGGGCGTCAGGCGGGCAGCTTTGGATCACAGGGGTCCCTACAGTTCCTCCTTCTTCCCAGGGGCGTCATTTTAGATTTTACAACACGAGCGAATAAATCATTCTCAAACCAACAGGATGTCACCTTCTTCACGGCCCCTGCGAAAAAAGCCCATTCGAAAGCAGTGAGCTTTTCTAGTCCACCAACTCAGATCCGCTCTGATTGAGGCTTTGAACGCCGCGCTCCACCAGCCTCCAACTCCGCCCAGGACACTTTTGTTTTAAGTGACAGCTGTAGATTTTCAATCGAGAGAATCCTTAGATCAACTTGATTTTTTTTTTTATTTTAAAAGGTGTGTTTCTTTTATAATTCCTTTCCTATACTCTGCCCGCCCCTCTCCCACCGCCAGACTAGCACTTCGCTGAAAGCAGCCCTTTAGGTGCTGGAGAACCCTCCTAAGTGGGCCAAAGCATCGGGGTATCGGTACACAGTTTAAAACGTCTGCGCGTGCCTGTGCGTGCGCTAAGACCTCTGCGTGCTTCCAGACACTGGTGGAGTCCCATTTCAACCGTTCCGAGAACATGCATTTATTTTTTAACCTTTAGAAGAGATGGTGTCAGCAAAAACAGTATGAAGAACAGCTTTTTAAAAAAAAAAAAAAAATGGGAGAGTGTTCCTAGAGTTTGGCTAATTATGTTTGAGATAGTGGAAGAGTTTGGG